AAATAAATAAATAAATAAATAAATTCTTGGGTAAGTCTATGTTACCTAAGCTACTAATTCTTCCCCCTTAACAGCCATATATGCATCATTCAGTGACTCAGGAGATAATGTCTGTTTACTATCACTTTAAAACGGTGCAGATGTTCTGCTATGGTTTTACTGGAAATGTGTTTATTACATTTATCAAGAAATTTAGATTTTACAGGGGAGGAGGGGAATCTGACCTCACCAGTAATTTAACTTAATGTTGCTAGAAATGTTGCAAAACCATAGGTTCAACAGAGAAATTAGAATTGTAGAATTCTAATCTCTTATGCAAAATATTATAAATAGTAGATGTCACTGCATTTTCCATACAGATTTTCCTGTTAGCATAAACAAAGGAAGGGTAAAAGTTTGAATCCAAGGGAGTTTCCCAAATCCTTTGTCCGACCTGAATATTTAGGAAAGATCCTCAACTCCGTTTTTGAAATGAAAGGTTTACTAAAGTCAAGCAGTTATTAGGTATTTAGGTATTTATTAATATTTGTATGCCGCCCTTTTCCCTGGGGGGACTCAGGGCAGCTCACAGTTCAAGGGGAGGAGAGGATTAGCAAAGCCGGATCTGAATATTCCCTCACAAAGCCTGTGTTTTTTCCTCTCCCCCTTCTACTCTTGACCACTCCAATCCCTCATGTCCCACCCCTACTCCTGCCACATTTTATGACAGGATGCCAGAAAAGCGAAGTAGGCTGAAGATGGAAGCCCTGATATTTAGCCAATATGACCTGTTTCTTCTGAATCAGCTGTTTCCTCTGAGAAAAAGTCAGGGGCTCATCGAGCTGTGGACCTCATCACTAGGGATGGGATTCAGCCAGTTCAGACTGGTTTGGGCAAACCGGTTCGCTCTCACGATCAGGTTTGACCGCATACCTGTCCCTGCCCTTTACTTACCTATATCCTCTCAGCTGATTTGCGCAGCGAAGAGGATTGCTGCACTTCATAAATAATGTGGAAGATAAGTTTTGTTAAAACTTTGTGTGCACGCGATCACCGAACCGGTTGTTAAATCAGCAGGATCCCACCACTGCTCATGACCAACAGCTGCAGGCCTAGTTACAGTCCTGCTTCCAGGGTTCTTGACAAGATGATCTTCTGAAGCAATGACTTCCATCGACACTGATGCTGCTACAAACTCAGGAATGAGCACTTTCCTGGTAGAGAATTTGGCTGTGTTTGAATTAACTTTTCTATTTTGCTCTTAGTCTCTTGTAGAACCTCATCAAGTTGTAGAACTTCCTACAAGTATGAAGAATCTAATCTAGTGTATGTCCACTATAAAAGATATATAATGCAAAATATGAGAGATACAGAACTTTGGTGTATCATTATTTTGCAATACAACACCAAATGGCACAATATAGTATTCTATAATTAAAAATATCTACTCTAGTCATAATACAGAACAAAAGCAAATATCTAAAACTAAAACCATCTCCAAAAATGCCTGAGATGATGGACCAAGTGAGAATCCTACACTGAAATTGTCTTAATATATCACACTGTGGAATGTGACTTACAGCTTTTCAGAACGATTAAAAATTGCAATTTGAAGAATAAGTGGCTCCGATTGCGTAAAATTTAAAGAATTGTGTTCAACTCTATAATGTCTTGATATGTATGAACACCTAGCCACGTGATGGTGAACCTATGGCACGCATGCCGGAAGCTGCACGCAGAGCCATCTCTTCGGGCACGCCAGGCATCGCCATTGCTTTCCTGGGTTACGGCACACTTGCCAGCTGGTCTTCACACACACAGGAGTGCTAGAAACGGGAAGAACAGTCGCCTGGGGAGCATGCGTGAACCAGAAAGATGATGATCTGGTTTCCAGTGCATGCATGCGCACTGGCCACTTAGTCTTCCAGTTTCTGATCTGCATGTGTGCATGAAGACCAGCTGGCCAGGGCTCATGTACGTGCCAGAAACCGGAGGATCATCATCTCTGTGCGTACATGTATGCTGGGCGGCTGCAAATGCTCAGTGCCAAAAAGGTTCGCCAACACTGACTTAGCCTATCTCGGTTAATTTCCAAAAAATGAAGCAAGTTTTACAAGGGAAATCCCAAGTTTGCAGCTATTATATGGAAAAAGCGTTTCAGTACACATTTGTCACAAAGAAAACAAGATAGATAAGTCCACACAGTAGAGTTAAATGAATTGTGTTTTTATCAGTATAAGAGGTTCATCACACATGAATGTTTTGAACCCAAATGATTGCACAAAAGTTTATTCTGAAGCAGACAAAATTACAATGGCATGATATGTGATACAACTGTAGTACTGTAAAAAAAATGCTTTCTGTCATCTAATTTGTAATGAGTGAGTTTGACAAAATAGTTCCAGTTGCTGCATGACTTTTAGCTGAAAGAACTATAAATTAAAATGTTTTCTTTAACTGGTGTTTTATATCCAGGCATGAGAATTTTGGCCCATTCAACTCAATAATATGACATCAACAGTTTATTTCTGGTCCTGCCACATAATTTCTATGGGGTTTAAATATCTCAGCTGCTCAAAATCCATATAGCTGTCCTTCATCCATTTTCTCACTGACCTGCTTGAATGTCCCAGATTTTGTTTTAAGACAGCTTCAAACTGAAGGTGGGTGTAGGCCCAGAGGTGCAGAAGTGACTTGCTAAACTTCCTGAAGTGATAGCCATCAATGCATTTTTAACTGAAATATTCAGAAATTTATTTTGAGTGGGTCATAACCGGTGGTGGGATTCAAATTTTTTTACTGCCGGTTCTGTGGGTATGGCTTGGTGGGTGTCGCAGGGGAAGGATACTGTAAAATCTCCATTCCCTCCCCACTCCAGGGAAAGGTTACTGCAAAATCCCCATTTCCTCCCGATCAGCTGGGACTCAGGAGGCAGAGANAAAAGCTATGCACAGCCATTTTGGTGAAAGGGAGGGGTTTCAGGAGGCACAAATGCTGTATTCAGTGTTTAAGACGCACCCAGATTTTCAGCCTCTTTTTTGAGGGAAAAGGTGCGTCTTATACTCTGAAAAATACAATAAGTGCTTGGCCTTATTTTTGGGTAGGTCTTGTTATTTTTTAAGGTGCAGGAGGCCCCTTAATCTCGGCCCATGGATCAGCTGATCCAGAGAGGCCTGGAAGTTCTTTCTCTGTTTGTGGCACACTTTTGCCAGCCATAACATCGCTGGGCTTGGCGCTCTTTTTGCGTGCGGTCGCCACTAAGAGAAGGTGCGGTAGCTAGGGTTTGCAGGAGCGGCCTCCGCAAGGCCGTTCTGCGTGGGTGGCAGGTGCATGTGGGGCGCATGGAGCATGTTCCCCCCCTACCCCTCTGGAAATGGCAGGGTACAGTTGCGCATGTGGTTGAATATTTTCGGGGAGGGTTTATTTTAGGGGAAACAGGGTAGATATTTTTAGTTTTGGTCAGTTTCGTTCAAGCAAAGAGGAAGCCTATAGACTAATTTCTCGGCTGAATAAAAATGTCAACTGCTTGGAACACATTTTTAAAAGGTATTTTCTATTACAGCCAATTGCTGTTGAAGTATTCTCAGGTGATGGACGCAACTACCTCCTAGCGTTTCAAAAAGGAGTGAGAAATAAAGTCTATCAAAGGTACCATCAATCTTTTCTTGGTTGAGTATCTGCAGCTAACATATAGTGGGTGATAACATTAACATTTATTTCATTAATTTGTTCTATTAATTTGTTGCTACTGAGTTGCTGTCCAATTCTAATCAGAATGTATAGTTTCTAATTGCATTGTCTTCTTGATTTTTGAAAGGTTTTTGGCTGTTGTTCCATCTTTAACTGACAGCTCAGAGTCAGTATCCGGACAACGACCTAATACCAGCGTTGAACAAGGGTAATGATTTGCATTGTCTTCTTCTCTGTAATCCAATTCAAAGCTGAGTTTATAAGCAAATCTTGTCACAGATTGGCCTGGAGGTTAACAAAAAGTATTCAGTTAAATTATACTTTTCTATTTTTCATCTAAACCAGAAGCTAATTGAATCAGTAGTTTATGGAAGCATCTGTCAGTTTATTAAGTCAAAATATAATTGTTGGAACATGGTTGATATTATTGTGACTCAACTTTAAAATGTAATATTTAAGAGGGAAAAAATGCTGAATTTCACTGTAGTTTCTTATCTAATGTATATTGTTCTAGGTACAGGTAAACAAAGCTAAGTTTGGGAAATTATTTGAAAAACAAATGTTCATAAGATAATAATTAGTGGATTCCTTTCTTATATTATTCACTTCCAAAAAACAGGACAATTTTTCTTAAATATTCCCCAGCTCAAACACTCTATTTACTGATTATACCTAGATACTAATAATTTCTGATGAGCTCAGAAGTGTAAACATTAACATAGCATGTCTTCTTCAATGGCTCGTTTAAAATAGATAAAACTGAGAGTTTCCCAAGATCATCCAAAGAAATTTGATTCAGGGATTACAGAGTTTCCCTATCTCAATATCATATTACATTTAAGTAAAATTATCCAGACCAACTCTGAATAAAATTAATTGAAATCCAAGTTTTTAATGAATGAACTAGTAACACCTAAATTTGAATGGCACCCTGTAAAATTAAGCATTTGTATTAACTTACATGTTTGTTCCTTGCCATTTTTATACTTTGAATTTTTAATTCTGTTAATTCAATGGATTAAATTTTCCTCATTAGATCTGGCTTGCTGAGCACTCTTGTAGGGGAGAAATCTGTTACACAAAGATGGGAGGTAAGCATAAGTAGTTCTATTTAATTTTTACATTGAGGTGAAACAGAATATTGAAAATGCAATCTTGGAACAATATATCTATATATATAAAAGCCAAATGCCAGTCACTCATCATGAAATCTCCAGAACCATAAAACCTACAAACTTGGAATTTGGCCTGTATATTCTTCTTGGCTTCTAGGTGCTTGCTAAGAAAGTATTTTTCGAAATGATCATCAGATCATTAGTATTGTTTATACAGTAATTAACACGCTCTGATGCTAAGGAGTTCTACTCCCCCTCCCCACCTGAAAAGAACTCTGTTCCAACTGCCAGTTGCCTCACATTNTAGCTATTTTCCGTAAGCTGTTTAATGACATTATTTTCGTTAAATGTCCAATTTCCCTTCATCTTCTGATCTTTCTGCTCTGCGTCACCAATAGATTTTATTCAGGCTGACTTTTATAATTCTTTGCTTTTAATTGCTGTATATCTCATGGATCAAACTCTAGAGAGCTAAACAACTTTTTCTACTGAGTTTGATAATTCTTTCTTTTTTGGTGTTTACTTTTTATTTTTCTTCTGTCAAAGTCTAAGTTTTCCTTTATTATTTTAAATATATTTTTAAATATTCCTTCGTTTCCTCTGACCCTTTCCTCCTTCTGATTGTGGGCTGCATCTCAACGGGATTTTGTAAAGGAAAGCAGATTTTGCATCCCATTTTTTTTGCCTTTAAACATTTTAATAATTATAGAATAAAAGACAAAAATACAAAAGCACATAGGAAAAAGCAGAGGGGGAGAAGGGGGAAAAGAAATGAGGGGGTGGGAGAGAAGTAAAAACTCCCTCTGTTGCAGTAAAATAAAGCATTAAAATCGAACCTCAACTTTTTACTTTTCCATAATAATGTAAAGGGTTTCCTAAAAGAAAGCAGATTTCCCATTCAAATCCTCCAGTTCTCAGGGAGGACAAAAGTCCCACCTCTCTTTCTCTCTAGTGGCTGCTCTATTCCCGCCTCCATTGTCATGATAGCCATTCACACGGGGGGGTGGGGGAGATGGTTGCTTGGGAGCTTTCCTGCCCTCAGCCTGATGGAGAAGAGGCTGAAGAAGCCAAGTGAAAGGGAGGGGGGATCAAATAAAGAGCAAAATTCAAAGCTTTTTGGGGGGGATGAAGAAGAAACCTCCCAGAATTACACAGAGAGGGCGGCTTAAGCCCCTTCCCCAGAAAAGGCTGCAATGAAGAGGGTCTCCTCAGCTGGGGGCTCTGGGGGGTCTGAAGGGGCCACAGGGGACCACCATCTTTCTCAGAGGCAAGAGGGGCTCCCCACTCAGCTGGGCAGACTCCTATCTGGCATCCCTATAAGATCCTCCTTGCCTGGCCTCTGCATGGGAAAAGGTGGCAGGGGAACATGGGATATGGGCTTCTGCATTCCCAGGCTCTGGAGATGGAAATTGGATTTTGCAGCTCAGCTTTTTCATCTGCAACATGAGGATCCTGAGATCCCCTCCCTCCCTCCCTCCCCTCCCGCATGGAGTGAAAGGCAGCCTTGATTTCTCCTTCTCTTTTCACTTGGCTTCCTCCCTTTCTCTCTCTCTCTATCTCTCTCTCCCTCCCCTTCCTTCCTTCCTTTGTCACATGGGGTGAGAGGCAGCCTTGATTTATCCATCTCTTTTCACACTATTGTCTCTTCCTTCCTCCCCTTCCTTCCTTCCTACCTACCAGTGTACCAAGTGGTGCCCATGGCCACTGCTTACCTTGAAGGTGACATTGCAGAACTCACCACTGCTGCTGAGGGAGGGCTGGCTGGGCAGCCCCCCTATTGGGTGCCCCCTCCTGGGCCATGCCTGCGCCCCTGCCTGCCCCCCCAAAGAAACGGTGGTGGCGGTGCATTGCTGGGCGATGGGGAGGGTGGAGGAGGGTGTGGTGCTGTCACCCTTGTCCCTGGGGCTCTTCTTGCGGGACATGCTGGCTGGCACTGCTTCAGGGCACCCAAGCCACCAGCTCCTCCATGCGCAGCCCGGCTCCCAGTACCGTCGGCATCCCATCCATTGCCCATCCTCAGCAGCATGGTCAGTCTTTTTTTGGGGGGGGGATCCCCAGAACCAGGTTGCCCAACACCCTGAGGAGGTCTGCTCTGGGCTGCAGTGGCTGCAAAGCATGGCATGAGGGGCAGAAGCCCCCAAATCCTGCAAGGAGCCTAAGCAAAGGAGGAGACAGAGAGCTGGGTGGAGGAAGGG